ACATCTCCTTTGATTTCCAGGGCAGGAAGCAGGAGGGAAAGAAAGCAATGTGGTGGGGGAAATGCCCTGACGTAAAGTACTGCCTTGAAGTACTTGCGTCAAGGCAGAGGACCAGACATTCCCCCAAGGGACTTTCATATCAGCTTGAATGGAGGGGGGGGTGGAATTAAGTCCTTAAGCTCTTTGGTTACCGTTTCATCTGGTGCCTCAGCTTATCCAGATGAGATGAGTGGGGGTGGTGAGTACACGGGAATAGCTGCCCCAACTCATCCCAGAGATCTTGCCTGGAGATGCCTCTATCCCCTCCCAACACCGCACCCCACACCAAAGCCGGGAGCTGTTCTGGCCATAGAAGGGAGAAAACATAGCACCCACCAGGGACACCCTGAAGTGGAGGGTGATGAAGAAAGAGAAGAATGTCAAGCAAGAGTCGCGTCACAGCCACTCCCAAAGTCCTCCCTAGGATCTCGGATCGGATCTCTCTGATCAAAGACCCTCCAGGTCCGAGGTTTGACTCACCGAGGGTACTCAGTCCCAGGAACAAACCCCGCAGCAAGCTGGTCTCGGGGGTTCCAGCCGGAATAATCATGGCCCTCCTTGGCCCGGAGTACTCAGAACAGATGGGGCACACACTGTCTACAGGTGCTGTGGTAAGCGGCGGCAACTCGAATGTGCACAGGAACCAGGCTACTGACAAGTGTGGCTCCAACCCAAGTCTGCGGGTGTGCGGATGGAGAGGTGGGGTGGGGACCAACTGGACAGGGGGCGGGGCATTCAAAGGGGTGGAGAGGTCACCGTCCTGCAGGGCGCGGCGCGCTAGTGACCCGCAGCGGGGGAGGAGAGCTCTGCCCGAGCTCGGATAGCCGGATCCGCTGCCTCTGTCCGTTTACTCTTCGTACTGGGGTTGGTGAGGTCGTGGTACCCCACGAACCAGACCTAGGAGTCATGCACACCTCCCGCGCAGGCGTTGGGCATTGAGGTGACAGAAGGAATGGGAGACTAAACCAAGTCTAGGAGCCACCCTCACCCGACACTAAAAGCCCAATAGCCGTGGCCAGAACCGCCCGCTCCAAGCCCGGGGTGCCGCGTTGCAGAGCGACCTTCTCAGAGGAAGAAGGGGCCCTTGCTGTGTGTGGAGTGCGAGGTCAGGTGGGCCAGGAGCAGCTGCCGAGGTGGGGATTCGAACTTTCGTCCAGCTCCCTCTCAGCCCGGCTCAGGCTCGAGGCTCCAGGCCAGGAAGTCTAAGATAGCTGACACCACAGGCCTTTCTTCTCTTAGGGCAAGAGAGAGGCCGGTTCTCCAGAACTTCTAGGAACTGAGGCCCGAGGGAGTCGCGGCCTTTTGCCTCATTGCTGCAAACAGGGAAGACTGGTACAAGGAAACTGAGCAGGAAACTGAGGCGACTGTCCCCAGCTCCTCATCCGTAATGCGGACTGGGGAGGAGGGACAGATGCAGGGGGACCGGATATAAATTTCCTTTTCTTCTGTACAGCCACTGGTGTCTTCACTGCTGACCATCCCTTGCAGTGAACGGCTTAGGCCGGCTCTGATCCTTTAATTCCTAGATCTTTCCTCTGCGAATTTAATTCCAACCCCACACCCCTCCCCACGCCATTCGGTGGAGGCAACTCTGCGCCCTCTGATGGCCGAGGCTGCTTCAGCAGGGCACTCAGCGGTGCTTGCCTTTGCCCAACCGCCAAGAAACAACGGGAAAAGATGCTGCAAATTATTCGAGCCGAGCTTCGCCACTCAACAAAGGTTACAGAGAGCAGAAGGCATTACCATGGATGCCTGGCATAGCCTGTTCGGAGGTAGTCGAGTACTACAGACAGGTAGTAGAGGCAGCCGGGCCCCCTCAACAGCACACAGGGCACCGGCTCCAGCATTGCATAACGACTTTTCCCACCTGTAGGGCCCCAGCAACTTCTCACCAGTGCGGTCAGCCTGGCTCCTCTTCAAATACCCGTCATGCAGTGGCTCTACAAAATGCCTGGGCAAACACTAGACTGCTCCTGACATCTCTGGAATCTACCTCTTGGCAGCTCAGTCAAGTGCAGAGACCTTCAAACTGGGATTGTCAAAGAGGTGGTGCTAGGGGTTTGAGTTTCCTAGTCAATCAAATTCAAATTTTTCTCAATTTCAGAATATTATAAGTACTTTTAAAAATGGGCATTTTGCCTGCACATGCTGTCTGTGTATGACGTGTCCGCGCCTGTAGAGGCCAGAAGAGGGTGTTGAATGCCCTGGAACTGGAGTAGTAGTCTATTTCGAACCGCCATCTGAGTGTTCAGAGTCAAACCACGTGCTCTGAAGAAGCAGGGAGAGCTCTTAGGCTCGAAGCCATCTCTCTAGCCCCATTAAGCACCTCTTGCAAAAAGTCCTCATTCGTTTCTGGACCAGGTCCGTCACTCCAAATAACTCCTCCCGGAAAAGGGGGTACAAAGCCCTGGATCTAGCCCAGACACTAATGCATCTGATGACTCAGGTGCCCATTGTGGTCCAGAAGCTGCTTCCCCAAAAGCTTACCTTAGGTACAGGACTGCCACAAGGATCTGGCAGGAGCGACTGTCTCCATGCGACACAGATGCAGTCTTCCCAAGCTTTTACCAAAAGGAATTTCCTTGACTGTCCCCTATCCAACCACATCTGAGCCTGAGAAAGTCAATTCGTGAGCAGGGAAGCTCTACGACACACCACAAACTCTGGCTTACCTTTTAGGGCAGACATCTCTCCACTGTGGTGTAAAACTCTCTATCAACACACACCTGCACTAAGAACCGTTTACATAAACATTGGATGTGTGCAAGCCTAGTTCACAACTTCATAGCTTTCTCTCAACCACACTTCTCAGATCTTCCGAAGAATTGATAATCTGGGTTTGGAGAGAAGGGCTGGGCAGAGGCCAAGAGTTCAATTCCCAGCATCCGCATGGTTTACAACCATCCAGAACTCCCGAACTAGATCTGACGCTATTCTCACCTCCCAGCACACACATGCACAAACACATATATGCAAGCAAGACACTCCTGCATGTAAAGAAAGTTAAATTTAAAAAAAAAAAGTAATTCTAAAAGTCTTTGAAAAACATTTGAATAAAGGGCCTCCATACCTCCTGGATCAGATAAAAAGTATACTTACGGCCTTAACTGTTTTTAGTAATGCCCAGTTACCAGACAGCCTTTTCTAGACTGCTCTGGTCAGATAGGATATTCCTATCAGCAAGTCATGGTCCTGACAAGCCTCCATTTCCCAACACTCAGTCTTGTTCTCTTCCCTGACCTTCAGACCATTTCAAGTCAACAGAAACCCAGGCTTGGTCTCATCTTTGCCCTCATCCTGATGGCAGGAGTCTAACAATGCTACACTTCTAGTAACAGGAGTTATTTTATGCAGGTAAAGACCTCACCAAATGTTCCTAAAATATTCTGCCCCACCTAGTAACTACTAGCCAAAGAAGGGGATAGAGATAGATAAATTCAGTATTAAGGTTAGATCTCGATTGGTCAGTGGCTGTTTTGAAGGGGCCATTTAATATTCCTGGTAATGTTTGTTCCTCCAGTTTGCCACTGTTAATTACGAGATTACTGCTGTCCAATCATCAATGCACCTTAGCCTTAGAACCAAAGGTTAAACTTACAAGACTCCCCCAACCCCCCCCACACACACACACAGAGCACACTGAGCAGGTGCTGTACTGACAGTCTCAGGATATTTATACTCTCCAAGTGGCACCTATTCTTAGCAGCTTACATCAGAAAAAAGGTAACCCCATAAGCCCAGACTCAAATAATATAAACCATCCCAGTGGTTAAAAATGCTCTAGATCACTAGAAAAACATACAAGCATCAATTAGCCAAATATTAAAATAAGAAGGGGTAAATCACCAATTTGACTTAATTTTGTGGGTTTACATATGCAATTTTATTTTACTTCTAGTTTTTGAGACAAGGTTTCTCTGTGTAGCTCTGGCTGTCCTGGAACTCACTCTGTAGACTGGACTGTCCTCAAACTTAGAAATCTGTCTGCCTAGGGTTGGAGAGATGGCTCAGTGGTTAAGAGCACTGACTGCTCTTCTAGAGGACCCAGGTTCAATTCCCAGCACCCATATGGCAGCTTACAACTGTCTGTAACTCCAGAATCCAGCATCCTCACACAGATATACATACAGGCTAAAACACCAATAAAATAATTAAAAAAAAAAAAAAAGAAATCTGTCTGCCTCTGCCTCCCACGTGCTGGGACAAACCACCTCCTTTCTGGCTATGATCTTACTTTCAACAGTATACAAAATCAGGGACTTAAGAGTTCTCATCTGGATTTGCTGTCCTCTTAAAGCAGAACACCTGAGAGGTGCTGAGGAACCATTAAAGACAAATACCAAACTAGCAAGTTCCTGTCACAAGACCAAGTGACCCTTGACTACTGGAGACTCTTCCTAGCCAAGAGTGGTAGCATCCAGGTGGAGTGGAGCCTGACCCACCGGAATCTCAGAAAAGGACTGTGCAAGAGTCCTTATCTACCGGACCGACACCTTCCAGTTTCTCCTCTCATGGACTGCTTTTCAAAGGCATCAGTGTTGTGTTTCTATTGGCTCTTCACTTTCTTTTTTTAGACACAGCAAGTTGGCATCAAGTCTGCCCTCTTCAACTGGAGACCCAATCCAATTACTGAGTGAAAAAGCGAGGAGTCAAAGCGCCTTGTCCGTGTGTACTCCCCAAGTCAGAAGCAGACCCCCGCAGTCATTTTCTAGGAAGAGACACTGGGGTGTCGAATGCCCTCTGGAACTTTTGACAAGGAAGGACTACGGTCATTGTTCTGTTTGGTATAGCCGTTCTTTTCTTTCCAGGACTGGGGACTGAACCTAGGGCCCTGTGCTTTCCAGATGACCACTAGCACTGGGCACAGCCCAGCCTTGGCTTGTTCACTCTCCCATCGAAGCTGGACATGTTCCCCACAATCAGTGCAGCCACATGCCGGTACAAAAAGCTCAACTAGCAACCCAAAAGGTCAGGAATTCCTTTAATTTTTTTTTTTAATTTAAATGGTAACACAACCATAAAAATCGTACATCACATAAACAAAAGTCTTTGCAGGCAACACTGATTGGAAATAGCAAAACACTTGGTAGGTGAAAAAGATGAAACTAAATTATATACAATAGTAGCTAAAGGTAATATTGAAAAACAGCTTTATTTACTGTGATTCAAAGATTTACTTGCCATTATCTATTGCTTATTTATTCAAAGTTGTAAATAATACTTATAGAGATGTGTAAAAATGAAACACTGAAAAAAATACAATTTTCAATTTCATATGAAACTCAAAGTATAAGTTTTGTCCAATATGGAATGTACCTACATTTGTTCATTTCAGGGCTCTAAAATCCATTTAAAAATCAATGTTTTCTTTTTTTAAAAAAGAACTGACCCACCATGCAAGACCTGTTTGCTCAAAATGAGCATTTGAGGTGAGGTCTGCTATGCTGCTTTAGAGGGTGCATTGGTCTCATCGTGGAAAGAGTTCCCACAGACAGGCTGATGGCAGCATCTGGACTGGGGGTAGTCTGGGTAAGAGGAAGGATGGAGAATGCACACGCCCAAATCCTTATGAAGGATGACACTCAGTTGTTAAATTTTAAGGGATATCCAATGGCTTTTTCCAGACACTCAACTAATGAGCCGGCAGAAAGAAAATCCCTCTCTACTTCTACAAATTTTATATAGATGGATTTGGGGGAAATTCCAGGATCCACAATACAGTTCTGAGACAAAAATCCATTAATACCAACCCACTCTTTACTGAAGGTTTTGGTGTTTGCTTGGAAATGTAAGAACAGGCACTGCTGCAGAGTCCTGACCTCAGCGATTCCGAGGTAGCAGTAGATGATCCGGGTGGGCTCTACTTCCACGTGCAACGAGGCTTGTGCTGAGAGGGTTTCCAGGCCAACCCGGCCCTCTTTTCCTGGGTCCAGGGCCTGGCGCTCGACATCTGGGGTGAGAGGCCTCTCAACACATTCTTCGTAGCCAATGGCATAAAGACCTGGACTTTTCGGAATCCCTCCTGGCAGTAAGTACTGAACAACATTCCCACCGGTTGGCTTGGAGTGGGCAATGGGTATCCAGTCAATTTCCATGTGCAGCTCCAGGCACCTGGCTTCACTAATGGTGATCTCTAAAAACTTGTAGTAAACGTTCTTCCAGTTCATTTTCTGCACTCGGGTCATGATTATTCGTCCCTCAGGCTTCTCAGAGTTGAAGTACTCCCGAAGACGCTTACCAAGGGGCACCTGGGAACTGATCTCAGCGTAATGGTAACGGATATCCTCTTTCCAGCGAGTGTTATAGCCAATTCCAAAAATGGCCAATTTATTGGAAAGATGGAGCCTTGAAAAGTCTGTCCAACTCTGAAACAGTTCCCATTTCAACTGTACTGACTCCAAAATCTGTACAATATTCTGCATGGTGTCTCGTTTCCTAGAAAGAGAAATTAACAGTCAAATTCTTGAAGCGTCTAGAGCAGCAACATCTAACAGAATTTTCTAAGATGATAGAAATGCTCAACGTCTAAACTGCCCACTATGGGCACCACTAGATCTTAAAACACAGCCAACAAGAGTAAAACGTTACATTTAAACACCCACATTTCAGAGCTTCCACACTGGAAGGTCACTACATTAAATATCAGAAATATCCCATTGAGTTCCTAGAATTAAAAACGAACTGCTTTTCATAGTCTCACTGTATCAAATTTAATAAATATAAATTCTTAAGATCCCAGGATTTCAGAAACGATGAATTTTTAGAAAATTATTGTGTGTAGATTTGTGCCATGTCACTAGTACGGAGGTCAGAAGAAAACCTTGGAATCGCTTCTCTTCTACCTTTCCATGCACTCTGGGGATTGGCTGTGGGCTTCCAGGCTTGAACATTTTTACCACTAGTGCTGTCACTAATCCCACTCAGGATCATGATTTTTTATTTTGTTTTGTTTTGTTTTTCTTTGTTTTTTGGTTTTCAAGACCAGGTTTCTCTGTGTAGCTCTAGGTGGCCTGAAATTCACTCTGTAGATCAGGCAGGCCTCAAACTCAGAGATCCACCTGGCCCATCTCTGCCTCCTGAGTGCTGGAACTAAAACCATGTGCCATCACTGCCCAGCGAAATCACAAATTTTTAAAAAATGGTTATCATAACCCTTATAGTGGCCGTCGGACCAACGTGCAAAAGCCAAAGGACACTTTCACAAAGCACCAGTGCCGCCTCAAATAACAATTTCTAAAACAGAATTTACAACAGTCCAGTGATTTCCACACACGTGCTGGGGGAGATAATTACGTGGTTATGACTAAGGACATGAGCAATATGTCATTTCTAATTAAATGAATTAGTATGAACTCATTATCACTCCCAAATTTTAATTAGAATATTAAAGGTAAAATTACAGAAATCTTCAGTTATGACTTGTGTAATTAGCATATCAAGATAGAACATGCTATGAACTAATAAACTAACAGGCTATTTAGCTAATATATTGACTGACACTTCATGTAATTTACATAAATGCAATTACAAGTTGTTTCTCACTGGGAATAGTGTTGTTGTATGCCTTTAATTCCAGAACTTGGGAGGCTGAGCCAGGTGGATCTCTTTGAGTTCAAGGACAGCATGGTCACACAGTGAGTTCCAGAACAGCCAGGCTATGGTAAAGACCCTGTCTCAAGGGGTGGGGGGCAATCAGGAGAGATGGCTCAGCAGTAAGAGCACTGGCTGGTCTTCTAGAGGACCTGGGTTCAATTCCCAGCACTAGCATGACAGCTCACAATTGTCTGTAAATCCAGTTCTAGGGGATCCGACACCCTCAATCAGGCAAATGTGCGCATAAAACAAAACAAATAAAATATTTAAAAATATGTTTCTTAAGTATGGCCAAACTTTGATATGGCAAAACTGGCTTATTAGATATTAACTTGGCAATCGAGTTATTACATCTTTAAAAATCAATTCTAAGTTTAACCTACAAAAATGCTTATACCACACTCGCAATCAAGTAAGGGGGATTTGCTAAGAGTACTTTTTTAAAAAATTACTTTTCGGGTGGGCAGTGAGTGTGTGTAAGGGCTGGTGGAGGCCTAGGGGTCAGATGCAGCTGTGAGCCTCTGGATCTCAACTTGAGGCCTCTACAAGAGCACCAAGCACTAAACCACTGTGCTTTCTCTCCTGCTCTCTGCTAACAGAATCTTCAAAGGAGGCCATCATCCTTTAAACTTTCCTTTTAAAATCTTGTTCTAGGAGAAGAGCTTTGGAGCATTCTGGAGGACATACAGAATAGTGCCTCCCTGGCCTATCTTGACAAAATACAAAGAGCTAACACTGTTAGCAGCTAACAGCTGCTTCTTGGGACCTAAGAGTACACTATATTTACCCATCACCCAGGAGTCTGGCTCGGAATCTTCTCAAGAGACCAAGCAAGCACCTACTGAAAGCACTGGCTCCCTGGGGAACTACTTCTCTCCTCAGGGAACATGAAGGTACTCAAACTCCATCTCTTACTCTATTTGATTGGGATTCTTTGTGAAGCAAATACATTCCTGAATGAGACAACATGTCAAAAGAAAACTATCTTTCATAGTCATCAAATAATTTGTATATTTCCTTCTTTTAAAGGAATTAAGTGTTTGCTGTATGCACACTTGTGTGTTGTACAGAAGCCAGAAGAGGGTATAAGTATTTTCTACCATTCTCAGCTATGTTCCTTTGAGATACCATCTCTCACTGAAGTTGGAGCTTTCATTTTTTTGAGTAGAGGGGCAGTTGGCCACCCCAGAGCTCGTCCTGGCTCCACTTCCTTCAGTGCTAGCTTTATGCGTGATAACAGGACCAGGCCCAACTTTCTTATGTAAGTGCTGGGATCTGAACTCCCACTCCTATGCTTTTATACTGAGCCGTCTCTCCAGCCCTGAACGTGTTTTACTGATGTCAGGGAGGACTACACTTAGGAGACGGAGTAGAGGGCAGAGACTGTTCATTTTGTTCACTGAAATATCTTAGTGCTCTGCATACAGCAGACGCTTAGAAAACAAAAGTTAACAAAATGATTAAGTGGATATTCTTTATGACGCATGGATCAGTTTGTTAACCCCACAGATGCAGAGAGAGCGAGAGCGAGAGAGAGAGAGCAAGAGAGAGAGAGAGAACAAAACCCAACCCACTGCCCAAGCCAAGCTATTTTATTTTATTCAACACGTCCCATGATGAGCACATGATAGGCAGACAGTGCGAGGAATTGCAGAAGTACTAACCCAAGCAGTAAATGGCCTACCAGAAGCTCTTTCAGAACCTCCACTCCTTAGGTGAGAAAGAGCAGCAGAGGACAGAGCAAACTAAAGTGTCCTACTGGCCTCAGCACGTGGACATCAGAAGTGTGGAGCAGTTTGGCACCACTTATTTGAGCAGTTCCTGAGAGGCCTGCCTATTTCCTGGCTTCTGAAGATCCAATACCAATAAAGTTCCAGCGTTGAAAGCTAGTGACAAGTGGCAGCTTGTGTCTTCCTGTCTCTCAAATGTCAAGATCACACATGTGGAATGCAACACACAAGACACGGGTGCTATGAATTCAAGGTTACCAAGAAGACAAAGGAGTAGTGCTCTTCAAGTAGCCCCAAACTGATTTTTAATGGCTTTGATAAGAAACTCACTTAAGCCATTAAAAAGAACTGTAAGTGTAACAGATGGTAGGAACTCTTAGGGGGAAGAACAGCAGTTGGGCCAGTGAGAGGCTCTATCCTGGACCTTCTCAGTCTTTCCTCGAGGAGCTGATTTCTACACGGTAATTAAGTCACCTAAGAGCTTCCTTTCTGTTCTCAAACTGCAATATTATAAAGAATTTATGGCTCGGGGGCTGGAGAGATGGCTCAGCGGTTAAGAGCACTGACTGCTCTTCCAGAGGACCTGGGTTCAATTCCCAGCACCCACATGGCAGCTCACAACTGTCTGAAAATCCAGTTCCAGGGGATCTGACACTTTCACACCAATGCACATAAAATAAAAGATAAATAAATTATAAAAAAATTTTAAAAAAAAATAAATAAAAAAAAAAAAAGAATTTATGGCTCTTTGGCCCTCTACCATTTCACCCAGCCCCATTAAGCTCAAGTCTTTGTGGCTCATCTTGTCTCTTAGTAAGCAAGTCCACACAGGAAACACATGATTTCATGTAAAACATTTCTTCTTCCTGTATGTAAAATTCGGCATTTCAGGTCCCTAGTGGTAAAGTGAAGAAAGAGCAGACACGCTTCCATGGTGGTAAGGCTGTAGTTTCTATACTATGCCTTGGTACCCACAATCCTCCCAGGTCACTAAACTTAGACATACTGGTGAAAAAATGAAGCATGTACTTACTGTGCTTCTTCAGGAGACTCTTGTTTTATTTTTAATGTTCTCTTTGAAACTGGCATTTCATCTGAAAAACAAAGCATTTTGAAAGAAGTTATATTTTTATAAAAGGTGGCATACATTTATGTGAATAAGTAGCTCTATTTACTGCCCTGTACTAGACTTAAAAATATAACTTTATATAATGAGATGCGAACATTTATATGCAAGATCAGAAACCAGGCTTCCCAAGTATAAAATTCTTCAAGGTCACCAGTGGATTTCAAGCAAGGAGCTTAAAGCTTAATTTCACTGCTAACATGATTTTGAAAGAACAAGAACGAAAATGATTCTGCTCTATTTAGGTTTTCTACGTAGGTTTTACAGTGTAAGTAATTATTCCCCCAAATACGAGGATCAGCATATTCTGTGTGGTTTTTTTTCCCCCCCGAGGTCTGGGTGATTTAACTCTTTATAGCAAACAGGGTTGTGAGACACTGCAGTCTAGGCCCTACTATTCTTGCGAGATTGAAAGGCAGATCATTCAGCATCTATTCTTATTCTTCCAGTCTTCGTTTTCTTACGTATGGCTGATAATCTTACCAATTTGAAATCCTCTTTCTTTTCCCATTCCAATATTTGGAAGAAGTTCTAAAGCACTAATAGAAACTATGATAACAATCTACCCCTTTTCTTTATTTCTCTGTCACCGGGTAAGATTTCTGTAATTTTTTTCCTTAAGGAAGGGAAGCAAATGCACAGAGTCAATCCTGCCTGCACTTTCTCAGGAGTCACCTGAGCACCTCATGAGGCAGAAGGGCATTTATTCCTAACATACTCACTACACAACTTGCTGGTGATGTACACAGGCTATAGCTAAAACCTGACCAGTATTTCTCATGTAAGAAAGTCAAAACTGGTATGCCTGATATACAGAGATGTAAGCAAACAAAGACTGTTAGTTAGGCCCATCAAATGTAGATTTAAAGTACCTGGACCAAAAGTCAGTGCTCTTGGCAGGAACCTCAGTGCTACAAAGAGCAGGGTATTTTGAGTTGCAGAAGATTGTCAGTGAACCTCCTTGTATGACTCAGATTAGGAATTCTTCTATCTTTAGGGAGCTTAGTGGTACCCAAATCACTAAACCAAAGATGCCCAAGTTGGCTAAAATAGTTTAGCAATATGCCTTGTGCTGACAGAACTGGAAGCTATCACAGGTGATCAATACCAGTACACATACCAGGCATACACACACAACACACATGCATTGGTTTCTTACCCAATTCCTGATCTGTTGGATAGCCATGGAGATCCTGACTGTGGTTGCCCCAGTCGTCCTGTGAATAGTCCTCCATAGTGCTGCCATCTGACTCCAGCTCCTGGTACAAGCCACTACTGTTAATAAGTACAGGCTGGCAGGGCTGAGCATCCCATCCTCCCTGACCAAACACCTGTTCCAACTGTTCAAATGTGTAACTGCTCTTTCTTTTCCCAACACCATGTTCTTTCACCCGACTGTAACACCTGCGAAGGGTCTAAGACACAAAGTCTTTTGTTACTCCTTTAAAGCTGTACTTCCTCCTCCAGATACGGACCACAGATATTAATTACTATCAGACAGACACAGACAGACACACACAGACACATTGTTACAGGAATGCTACATTTCAAATTCATTATTATATTAGAAAAATACTAATTTAGCATTTACTGAAACATGTTATAATTCAAACAATTATTTTGCAATTATCAATTAAAACAAGATACATTACAACATTATTGCATTTTCCCACATACACATATTATATGCCCCCTCCCCCATTTAAAAAGAATAAGGGGGAGAAAAAAAAGAAATACCAGCCAGCCAATAGGATGCACACCTGCCACAGGAGAGAGAGCTGCTATCGTGCCCAGAATTTGGAAAACGTGAGGGAAAGACAGAAAAAAGAATTTCCCCAAGTGAAGAACATCTTCCTTACCCTTGGGGTTAAGAGTACAGGGGAAAACAGTTGCCTAGACAAAGAAAGTAGCTAACAAAACAGATCCCTTACAGAGTCTATGTTCCTCACTAACTCACTCTGTCATGGTAAAAAACTTCTACAATTTAAAATATAAATCAAATAAAAAATGTCCTAAGTCTCCAGTCTCAGACACAATGACCAGGAAGTATTACATTAATACCTACATTTCACTAGTCTACCAACTGAAGTTGTCAACTAAACAAACCAGCAAGCAGGGCCAACAGTCTTTCCCAGGAGGTGAGACAGTCCTCTTACTCCTTTTCTGTCACTTGACACACAGCAAATACCATTGTGCAAGCTCAAAGACAAAACCTGGGTAACACTGCCTGGTTCAGCTCTCATTTCTATTACATATTTCAGACTAGCCCAGTGTCCCAAAGTTAAGGGTGCACACCTCATGCTATCTTTCTCGATATATCAAAAGATGAATCAAGGGCCTTGTCTCAGCTTGAAGCTCTGGTCTCACTCAGGTCTCCTTTGTCTCCGCCTCCCGCTCTTCCTTCCAATCCCTTTTCTACTTTATAGAGTTTCACTCAGAATTTTCTTAGAGACAAAAATCTAACTTCTCTAACTTAACTGTTAAAACTAGTTTATCTCTAACTTAATGTATAAGCATCATCAGGAATATATGATTCTCCTAAAGGACAGATTGCCTTCCATAAGCCAATACATGACCTAATCTCACCAAATGGAACCAAGTCTGGGTCTTGAGGGCATCTCCATGAAGAGAGCAGGGCCTTTAATGACAGCTGACAGTCTACCACATTCCCTCAAAGGCTCTTTAAATCTGTCCCTTGAGGTCAGAAATCCACACAGGCAAAAAGAATAATAAATAAGAAAGCATGAGACATGGCCATCCCCCAAAGTGCACCCCATTTCATAGCACCTCTCCCACAGCCTCAAATGGTACCTTACAGAGAACGAGGCTTCCCACAAACTCTTTAAAAGTCATCTCAGCTTTCTTTTTGCAACAGAGAATCATGACCCCATAACAAAACTTTCTAGAATAATCCAGAAACATAAACTTGGAAAATGTGTGTCATGGTCAAATCTCCCAAAAAAAAAAAAAGAGACAAGCGCTGCAAATCTCACTTGACTTTGCACATACCCCCCTTCCCCAGCACCCTCTGCCCTCCTCAGAGATAGGAATTTGAATTGCAAACAGCCCCTGACAATTTATTTTTATCTTACAAGGTCTAGCTTCTGCCTCCAAGAACACCCCAACCACTCTCGATTCCTAAGGACTGTAAATAGAGTTCCAATCCTCTCCCTTTCCCTCTTCTGAGACCATAAATGGAGATGGTCTCACTAGTTACTGGCTGCCTACAGAACAGTGCTCAGAACACCAAAGTCCAGTTGACTGGCTCTGTCACCGAGGGTTACTCCAGAAGCCAAGAACAAAACTAACGCTTCTTTCTAGAAAGATACCGTACTTATGAGGAAGTGACAGAGGCACAAGCACATCCATGCATTTCTTCCTATATTTGCAAACATTTAGTCTCTTGATCAAAAATAAATTCACCAAATTTTAATAATATACATGGGGAGGAGCCAGAGAAAGGACATTCTTCAAAGCCACCAAACTGAGCTTATAATTTCCTTTGGTTATGTAGTTGCGAATACTACAATCAGCGGTCTCTGGCAGCTATACACGCCTCTTAGTTGTAATATACACCTGCAACACATGCTTACAATGTGCTGACACCTACCAGGTGTTTAGTAATGTCTAAAACCATGATAATAACCTGATGTACTGAAATGGCATTAAAATTAAAATTTTCAAATCAACTTTCTCTCCTTCAAGATACAAATACATGTAAGCAGTACCTTGTAGGTCTAATAATGCCCAAAACTCAAGGGCAGTCTGTTTAAACAGGGAACATCCACTAAGATGGTGTGGGGAGGAGTTGAGGTGGCTTACCTGCTACCCTAAGACCCACTAGGATTCACTTTGAGAGCTCAGACACAGATAAAAAGGACATGCGGAGACCTTCCAGTTCTTACCACCCACAGAAAAGATTGCAGAATGCATTATCCTCTAAATGCTTAATCAAAGCATCTAATTAAAAGACTGGGCGGCTGGATCAACAATCCTAAATAAACCAACTAAAACCCTTCTCTAAATCAGGCATCAGGATGCTCCAGAGTCCAGGAAAATGAGGCTGCAACTCCCACTTGAGTAAGCTACCAAATTCAACAAGATACACCATTTGGCTTTCCCAGTGAACCACAGCCTACTTAAGACTAAAAAAAATCTTGCTTCACTTCCTTCATTTACCTCACTCATCTCAGAAATGTATAGCAATTTGATCTCTACCTGGAAAAACTTAAAACTACTAAAGGCTATTCTATTAAAAGACAACAGTTAACGTCTTACTGTAAGAACTCTGTTAAGTTGACAGCCCATTTGCATCTCCTCCCTGGAGGAGGGGCTGTAGAACTATACTATCCACCCAGACAGAGGTCCCGAGGAGTTTAGGAAATCTAGACTAAGCAAGGCAAGAACTTCAGGAGGCCAACCAGAGTTATTCCCAGCACCTGATTCACAAACGCCACGTGAAAGCTTATGAATCCACCATACCAAATGCTTGGGTTACAGGACTACAAATGGATAAGAACCAGAGAAAAGGCTTGTGGGGTGCTCCATTACCAAAGCGGGGGGGGGGGGCTGACAGCTGACAATTTATAGAACAGAGTGAAAGTCTTGCCAGAGTTTAAGATTAAAGTAAAAGGGAATCAGAGAATAAAAAGATGACATCCGTTGTGAATGAATGCACGGGAGGTCTATGGGGAGGAGGGTGGGGACACAAAGGCAGGACTTTTAGATTGGCAGGACTGAGGGTTTGACGGCAGCAATGCAGAGAAAGACCCAGGGTTACAGTACACGTAACATTAAATACAGTGCACAATGCAGCTATCTTGCCAAAGTAAGCAAATCCAGTATTGGGCTGTATAGGCAGAGGAATCACATGTAAGCTATGCAGGTGGCTCTTCCTCTCTAGTCAGCACCGGTGAGGCCACAGCTGGAGCACAGCATTCAGTTCTGGGCATCGAACCAGCTACAAGAGAGGGAAATTGTAGAGTTCAGAAAAGGGCAAATAAAATAATGAAAGGCTTGGAAAATAAGATCTACAAGCAGGACCAGTGGCTTCAAAGCCCTTCCTGACATTACTAACTCACTAAAGGTGAGACTGAGGTGTCTTCACTTCAGTGATCTCGAATCCCTGCTCTTGTATTCAGAAAGTGGGAAGAGCTAGTTCCTCCCTGGTTTGGGAATACAGGAGGAAACTGAATAGCTCATACAGGCACAGGCCAAGGGTTCTGCTACTGGCTCTGTACTTAACCCACTTCATATTAATAAAATAGTCACCATGACAAAAACCACTGTTCTAACAGAGCTGAGAGCAACTGGTCAGAGCATACAGTGAGGAGGAGCAGAGATCAGTCACGACAGCTGTATAACCATGCTTTTAGAAAACACTGGCTTCACTGGTCTACACTGTCAGATAAAGAATAAAGTGGACCTGCAGGGAGGATAGCTTAGTTATATTAGCAGGAAACAATGTTATAAGAGAAACAAACAGTACACAGCTTTTCATACGCAGCTGTCAAACTGGCCATACTAAACATACTCAGTGGCCAACTAAACGTGACAAAACCAAAATTCCTCTCACTCAAACAATTAAAACAAGTCTTCAAAAGTCATATACCCCACAAGAGAAGGGGAATTACACAGGAAGGGAATCTCCAAAAACTGGGTTTCTTATAAAAGTGTCAAAATAACACTTTGAACTATGCATGGCAGTTCACATCTATAATCTATAATCCCAGCATGCAAGGCAGAAAAACTGCTGCAAGTTCAAGGCCAGTCTGGTATACAGCGAGACCTTGTCTCTGGGAAACAACCCCAAACAAATACCTCTAAGAGAAATGAGCAGTCTCTATAAAATAGATCTTTTTCCTTTAAACTCCTACTTACAGTTACTATCAGAGGCTCTTAACTAAGGCAACAAAACACCAAGTTTAATAAAAACTCAAAAGGTCTAAGGACACAGCTCAGTGGAGTACTTGCCTAGCACGTATAAGGCCCTGGGTTCAATCTTAAGCAACACACACACACACGCACGCACGCACGCACGCACGCACGCACACAGGGGCTGGGGATGTAACTCAGTTGGTAGAGTGCTTGACTAACATGCTAACAGTAGGTGGCGCATGCCTGCAATCCCAACACTGGGTGGTAGGAGAATCTGTGAGTTCCAGGCCTGCCAGGTCTACACAGAGTTCCAAGACAGCCAGAGCTAAACAGAGAGATTTGACTTAAAATGAGAAACAAACAAACAAACCAAAAGCATAAATTTATATATCTTTTGACATACAATTGTAAATTTGGGGCAGAAAAAATAACACAAAACCATTTGAGCAAAAATCTTATTTATCATACCTGATTTTATGCATTAATATCTGGCAAACTACTTTCTACAAGAACTAAAACAAATATAGGAAATTTGTGTTACCATCCTCCCCTCCACCCCACTCCCACTCCTGTCCTATTGGTTGAACAAATTTTGGCAAGTAAAAAAAGTAAAAAACTTTCTAATTCTAAACCTTTGTCTTTCCCCTTTTCTATCCAGGATATATCCTTAGCCAATTGGAGCCATGGATCTCTTCCTGAGGGAAATGCACACATCACTTCTCACAAACTGCGAGGAGTTCACACACCTCTGCTTTAAGTTTGCGCTACAGCTCACAGGCTTTTCCCCCATAAAAGAACATAGTATATGTCGGGAAGTCAGGCTTCAGAGGAGTCTAAAGACTGGCATGACCAGAGCCAGCAAGAGGGCTTAGCAGGCGAGAGCACCGCCATCCATGAAACCCAAGTGCTGCCGACGCCAAACCCAAAGTCAAGAGATTTCCTCACCTCAACTTCTCATAAGCTGGAGCCAAAGGCATACAACACAGCACCCAGATTTTCTGATTTTTTTTTTCCTAAAGAAAATTTCAGTAAAATTCACAAACAAGCAAGTAAATAAAAACAAAGTAAATAAAAACAGTATCTGATTCAGAAAAAAAAATCACTTATTGCTTGGTTTCTCAATTCATTTTAATGACTTATTTAAGCAAAAATAAGGAAGTTTCCTAGATGTGGTGGTATAATCCTGGCACTAAAGAAGTAGAGGCATGGGGCTGGGGAGATAGCTCAGCGGTTAAGAGCACTGGCTGCTCTTCCAGAGGACCCAGGTTCAATAACCAGCACACACATGGCAGCTCACAACTGTCTCTCCAGTTTCAGGGGATCCAACACTTTCACAGCCATACATGCAGACAAAATACAAGTACACATGAAATAAAAATAATTTTAAAAAAGAGAGACAGACAGGAGGACAGAAAATTCTGGCCTATACAGCCAGACCCTATCACAATAATCAAAAAGAATAATAAAGTTCTCATTTTACTTTCTTTCGTTTGTTTTGGTTTTGGTTTTTCAAGGCAGGATTTCTCTGTGTAGCTTTGGAACCTGTCCTGAAACTAACTCTGCAGACCAGGCTGGCCTCAAAATCACAGAGATCTGTCTGTCTCCTCTTCCCAAATGCTGGGACTAAAGGTGTGCGCCACCAAGCCAGACTGTCGTATTTTTGTTTTATTTTTTTCAAGGAACTTTTTTCTGTGATAAGCAACAATTCTTTTTCTGAAGTGGCAATAGGTAATATTTTAAAATTCATCCTGGAAATACAATGAGGGCCTAGGCCACCTAAGACGTCATTTCAAAACAAAACTAACGAACTGCAACAAAACTGGTGGGTACTGCGGAAAAGCTTGGAGACTGCTAGGCAGGCTGGATGGGAATGGGCCCTCAGGCATGCGAGGGAAGCACTTAGACCGGAGCCTACCCAGCAGCGGACCGCTAAACAGGGATTTTAACGTTAAATGCAAAAAATCCATACAGAATGGACTCCAGGAAGAGCATTCCTCTAAAGTTGCTACAGCGGAATCTTTTTTCAGGCTTCTGTTTTCTCAATACTTCCTTCACTTTGGGGCTCTGACTCCAAGTGGTATTCAGCTAAAACATTAAAACTGTCATGAATTTACTAACTCGGGCTATCCTGGACCAGTCCCACCCTGTAACTCGGGCTATCCTGGCACTCATCGAAACTTCTTCATCAGCCCCCTACTTGTTACTTAGTCAGCCTGACACAAGTTAATATCTGGCAAGAGGGAACCTAAATTGAAAAAAAAAATCTCTATCAGTTACCATGGGCATGTCTGCAGAGTACTTTCCTGACCACTATGGTCAGTGTAACACCGGGGCAGGTGGTCCTGAGTGGTGAAATAAACCAAGCCAGAGGAGCAAGTCAGTAAGTAGTGTTCCTCCACGGTCTCTGCCTCAGGTCTTGTCTTCAGGTTCCTAAAAGAGTCCAGGCCCTGACTTCTCTTTATGATAGATTGTAAACTGTAAAATTGAAGTAAACCCTTTCCTTCTCAAATTGCTTTTAGCCATTTTATCAAAGCAATAAAGAAAGCAAACTAGGAGAGCCTTCCAAGTGCTCAGATTACAGAAGTGAGCCACCATGCTCAGCTGTCCTATACTTCTATTGCTTAGCAACAGAGTAGGTTTGTTCTACCAGCATCACAATATGTTGAGCAATGTTTTGTCAAAGGACAAGGATAGCTACAATCACTTGACTAAATGACAACAAATTTTTGGCTCCACTATACTGGGACTTATGAAACTATCTTTCTGTACACCTCCATTGTTGATTTAAAAATGCCATTGTGTGGAACACAACCTGTATGCATTACAGTTAATCTCATCTCCAACCATTTACTCATGTAAATTTACCCATGTAGCAAATATAAAACATAAGGAAATGGTCAAAATCTATAACTTTTTGGCAAGTAAGTATCATACTTACCTGTGTTTACAGTCAAAAAGTAATTGTACCTTGTAGATATTCCTTCTACTATAGTTCAAGTGCACCTCCTTTAAAAGGAGTTGACAGCTTAAGAACCAGCACCACCGACTTGAAGATGTGAATGAGTAACAATGAATCTTCTACAATAAAGACTTTAGCTTTATTTTCATGTTTTAAACTCTTCTGTGGTATTTTGTTTGTGCTCTAACAAATAAAGCTTGCCTGAAGATAGAAGGCGGAGCTAGTCACTGATTAACCTGTAAAGGTCTGCAGGTCTGTGCAGACAGATAGGAAGTGATATGGCTGGGGGGAGAGAGGAATATAAAATGGAAGGAGACAGGAGCTTGGCCTCCTTTAGGTCTGGAGATTTCATAGAGGTAGAGCTCTAGTGGCTGACTGCTCTGTTTCTCTGATCTTTCAGCCTTCATCCCTAACATCTGTCTCTGGTTTTTTATTACTAAGACCAATTAGAACTTGTGCTACACTCTTCCTTAAAACTTCCAAAGCAGAATTTGTGTTTGTTGTTGAGTAAGTTCTCTTTTGTAACAGTGAGTTGAGTAACTGTTCACCATGAGTTTTGACACATGTAAGGAGTATTATACAGTTCAAAGTTATAATGGCACTGATAATAAGGATGGATCTAGTAATAAAAGTTTATGGAGGCTGGGAAGACGGCTCAGCAGTTAAGAGCACTGGCTGCTCTTCCAGAGGATCCAGGTTCAATTCCCAGCACCCACATGGCAGCTCACAACTGCCTGTAACTCCAGTTCAGGAGATCCGAATGCCCTCTTCTGGTCTCCTCTAGCACTGCACACACATGATGGACTTAAATTTATGTGCAGGCATAATATTTATATAATAAAATCTATTTTTTGTTGATAATTTAAAAAGCACAGGTAATGAGAAAACTCAGGTGTAATGGTTCATTCGACCTTTCACTTCTCATGGGATAGATAAAACATGTCCTTTTGTTAAGGATTTTGTCTTGGACATATCTATAGATAACACGTTTCACTATGGATAGATGTTCAATATAACAAGCAGTATATTATCACATTAAATCTTCACAGGTTTCACTTTAAGAGTTATGTCCAACCATGACACAGATTTCCAAAAAGCAGTCTTCAATTCAAACATTCCCTAGT